CAGGGGTCTCTACACAGTGGCTCTGACGTGCCCTTCAGGCCCAGGCACCCACCAAGGATTTGCTTCGGCAAACAACAGTGATTCTGGGGCTGCCGACTCCTGGACTGGCCCCCCTGGCCCTGTGGGCCGTGGCCGTCCCCTGGAGCTCTGGTCCAGACCCTCACACGCTGGGGTGCGCCTTTCTCAGCAGAAAAGGCAAACTTCTCGCTGAGCGGGTGGGTGTGTGAACCTCCAAGCTGGCGGGGTCAGAGGGGCGTCTTCCTGCTTCCCCCAAGGCAGTGGCCCTGGGGTCCCCTTGGGAAGGGTTAGGACAGTGCAGGCCCAGGTCCCCTCCATGCAGCTCCTTCCCCACCCCCGTCCCCTCTGCATCCCCGACCCCAAGGCAGCAGCCTGGCCTGCACGGTGCCCGACCCTGGGCCCCCTCCTCCAGCTCAAGGTGAACACCCTCCCGCACCCCGATTAACCAGGTTTAACTGTCGGGTACTGCCTCAGGCTCAGAGATGCACACCATGGTGCTTAAATGAGCCTGGGAGTTATTCCTCTCACATGCGGAGGCCTGGAAATCTCTACTCCCCCCGGACTGACATGAGCTGCTGGTCTGTCTGGTCCAGGCTCGTTTGCAACAACACTCTGGCCACAGAGGAGGGGACGGGAGAAGACGAGATGCGATGGCCGTGAAGATGGTGACAGGGTTGCAAGGTCACTTTCCTTCATGTTCCACTGGGGAGAGTCCTGCCTACTCGGATTGGGCTCTGGGGAGGGGGCGTGTGGCCTCTTCTGAGGCTGGGGCCGGGAGGCCCTGTGTGAAGGAGAGGGAGGGGGTATCGGGCATGACCGAGGCTCCAGCACCTCGGTCCTTGCCTCTGGTCTTTCCTGCAGGTGCCCTGTTCCCACGGGGATTTTCCCAGAGTGCCTTGTGCAGTGGGGGAGGAGGGATGCTCGGGGAGGCCAATTGCTCTCTTGCTTCTGCTGGCAACTCTGGTCACAGGATCTGGCCTGATTGTCCAGAAGAAAGCTGCCCACTGCGGTTTCTTGTGGCCCATGAAGGACTCCCAGGCTGCCTCCTGGGGGTTGGAGGAGGCCGAACGGTGCGCATCCCTCTCAGACCGCGTTTCCGATGCTTGGCTGTGGTGATGTGGTTCAGTCCTGGCAAGGACCTGGAGTAGGCAGCACCCAGGCTGTGTCCTGACCTCCGTTACGAGCCCCGCCGCCCTCGGTCTCCTGTGCATTGTTCACTTTCTGCCCACCCCCACTGCTAGGGCTCAGGTCTAGGGGCCCTCCAGCCAGCGTCCTGATGGCATCCAGTCGAGTCTTTTCACCCAGACCCAGCTCCCAGGCCCCCAGATTTCAGCCTCACCAGGGGAAAATGTCGGCACCTTTCCAGAAAGTTTGAAGGATCCGTCCCCGTGGAGGGAGGCCACGGTGCTCCTTCTGCTGGCGTGAGTGCCCTGGGGAGGGGCCAGGTGAGGGCATGGGGAAGTGTCTGTGCGGGAGGTGGTCCCAGGAATCACGGGTGAGCGAGGAACTGGGGGGGCCTGTGTACAGGAGGACGGAGCTCCCGCACAGGCAGTCCCCTGGGCTCCGCTCTGTAAGGCAGGGATGCCCCTGGAGTTGCCTCTCGGTGGGGAGGGGGGCGGGCCCCTGCCCTCAGCTGTCCTCCCCCGGCCGGAGAGGGCTGCCTCTGGGGGTGTCACAGAAGCGCCCGAGGAGCAGAGCTGGGAGCCCTCGGCAGGCGGGCAGTAGCACGGAGCTATCCAACCCCCTGATGGAGTCAGGCAGTCCGAGAAGCTCCCCCGCACCCCCCCGCCAAAGACAGCGTCCACGCACCCCACGAGAACCGGTGCCCCGACACTGGCGCCAGTCAAGACCACCTGCCACGCTGTGCTTCCCGTGTTTCACGGCACTCAGAGGATTTTGCGGCTGGTTTTCCGTGTGTAGATGCTATTTTCCAGGGAAAACTCATAACCCTACCCTCTACTGGTCTCCCTCCCACCCAGGGCAGAGCGAAGGCGATGGGCTCACAAGACCAGGGTCCTTTACGATCGGAGGGGGAACTTCCCACAGAAACTCAGAACGTGGCATTTTTACTCTAGTGTGTAACTTCGATGCAAGGAACATTTCCCCTCCGTCGACAGGGGACTCTGAGCGTGGATTCACAGAGATTTAAACGCCTGGTCTGAAGGGAACAATCTTTACACAGTCATCATATCAACGCACTTAACGTTTTAAAAACTTTTATTTATCTTTGATAATCAACCTAGGAATACAGCCCAGAAGACTTAATTATGGCTTCAGGAGTGAATGCCAGTGTTAGTATTCCTGACAGTGTAAAATTAAATCGGCAAAGTGGTAGAGAGAGCAGAGGGCGGGGGGGGGGTCTGCTTGCTTCCCCCTGCCCCTGGTCTGTAGAGCGGACGTCAAGAGACACCTTGACAGCTGGTGGAAGGAACAAAGTGTATCATCTGAATGTATAAACTTGTCAGAGGAGGACTAAACTATCGGATAGTAACATAGCTACTGGGACTTCCCTGGTGGTGCAGTGGATAAGAATCCGCCTACCAATGCAGGGGACGCGGGTTCCATCCCTGGTCCGGGAAGATCCCGCGTGCAGCAGAGCAGCGAAGCCCATGCACCACGGCTCCTGAAGCTAGAGCACCCTAGAGCCTATGCCACGCAGCGAGGGAAGCTGCGGCGATGAGACGCCCCTGCACCCCAGGGAGGGGTACCCCAGCTCGCCATGACTAGAGAAGATCCCAGTGCAGCAGTGAGGACCCAGAGTTGCAAAAGAAACAAAACAAAACAAAAAACAAGCCAGCGTAGCTATCATATGACTGGGGGGTCTTGAGAAGCAGTGAGTGAGGGGCCCGTTGCTTGTCTCTAGGGGCCCCCACAGAGAGTTTCTAAGGCTGAAAATTAGAAGGAACAGAGGCTGTCCTGCCCAGACAGACAAGGTTGTGCTGTGTACAAACACGCTCAGAAGTGTCAGTCGTGCAGCTTCGAGGGAAAGTTACTTCCAGCTCGTGTTAACTGGGGGGTGTTGGGGGTGGAGGTGCAGCCTGGCTGTGGTTTCGGCTGGGGAGGCAGCTTCCGCCTGCACTGAGGATCTGTGTCCTGGAGATGAGCCGGTGCTGAAAAGTGTGACCCGGACCCCCTCCTCCTGCGGCATCCCTTGGATGGGGCAACCACCTCTCGGGTCAGAGGTCAACAAACCTGGCTGGCCACTCATTTTTAGGTGACTGTTGAATTGAGCAGTTTTTCCATTTTTAGATGATTGGAAAAAAATCAAAAGGTGAAAAATAACCCATGACATGTGAAAATTATATGAAATTCAAATTTCTGTCCCTAAATCACATTTTATTGCCCCCCCAAAAAAAATTCAGAAGGTTCTAAGAGGCAAAACTTGAATTTGCTGTAGGCTGGCCGCCATTTATACACTACTTACACTTATGAGGTATTATAAACAACACAGGGATGATTTAAAGTGTAGGGAGGATGTGCATAAGTTATAAGCAAATACTGTGCCATTTTATATGAGAGACTGGAGCATCCTTGGGTATTGGTACTCATGGGAGTCCTGGGTCCCTGCAGATACTGGGTGACGACTGCTTGCCATCTGCCCTTCACGGGACAGGCTTGTCCACGTGCTCCTTAGGGGTGGTTATCTGCTTGGCCCTCCCCAGCAGGAGGATTCATTCATTCGTTCATGCACTCCTTCATCCCGCTAATGTTTAATGAGCACTGACTTCGTAAGAGGATCCACCCCCTGGAGATGTTGGTGCCACAAAGGTATGAAAGATGTGTTTCCCCCTCAAGAAGAGCGGTCTGAACTAGCCATTCAGGCCCCCTCTGAATCAGACTGGGGCTGCTGCTGCTGCTAAGTCGCTTCAGTCGTGTCCGACTCTGTGCGACCCCATAGACGGCAGCCCACCAGGCTCCCCCGTCCCTGGGATTCTCCAGGCAAGAACACTGGAGTGGATTGCCATTTCCTTCTCCGATACATGAAAGTGAAAAGTGAAAGTGAAGTGGCTCAGTCGTGTCTGACTCTTAGCGACCCCATGGACTGCAGACTACCAGGCTCCCCCGTCCCTGGGATTCTCCAGGCAAGAACACTGGAGTGGATTGCCATTTCCTTCTCTGATACATGAAAGTGAAAAGTGAAAGTGAAGTGGCTCAGTCGTGTCTGACTCTTAGCGACCCCATGGACTGCAGACTACCAGGCTCCTCCGTCCCTGGGATTTTCCAGGCAAGAGTACTGGAGTGGGTTGCCACTGAGGCCCTTCCTGCAATTCCTGCACCATCCGCTGTCATCAAGCCTGGGGTCCCCAGGGGATCAACAGCATGAGATCGGTCTGAATTCAGCTTTTCCAAAGAGAGGCATTACCCTGGATGTGGAGTGGGTCCCATTCTCCTCTGAGGAGCTCAGAGACCTAGATGTTGCTGGACGGGGCAGCGCCGTGGGTCCCAGGCCCTGTCTCACCTACCAAGGAGTCCCTGAGGGCGTGAAATGGACCAGTCAAAGAGCCCCAGGGGCCTCAGCCCCTCTCCAAAGCAGGTCTGACTTGGTTTACAAATGTTTCGTGGAATTGTTCATGCACAGATGGGGAGAATAGAGGGCCCAGAATTAATGACCCTATTTTGCGGGGAAAGTTCTTAAGAAGGTGCGGCGTGAGGGCTACGATCTGATGGGGGTCTGGTGCGCTCGGCCAAGAACGGCAGCCAGGACGGAGTGGGGGTGGGTGCAGGGGTTTCCAGCTGCTGCAGGCGGTCTTCCCACCGCCTGGAGGGGGTGCCGCTCCTGGTGGCAGGTGGGCTTTAAAAACGTCCCGTCCTTCACCCAGTCCCGTCCCACATCCCACCTCCATCGTGGTCCAGAGGTCATCTGGGGCAGAGGTCATCTTCCTGAACGCCAGCCGCACACCCCCCCGCCCCCCGGACCGGGCACGGCCTCCATCATTCTCCTGTCCCCTGATGGAAGGAGCAATGAAATAAATGTGCCTCCGTCAGCCGTGTTTGCTCTCGGTGGGGTGAAGAGAGGCGCCCGTCTTCACGCACAGGCAGCGTCGCTTGCGTGAAGAGACGCCCAGAGCCTGGGTTTCAGCGGTACCTCGGCCCACTTCCTCACACGCCTCGCCTGCCCCGGGGCTGATGCAGGCGCCCTCTCTGCCCCACACCCGCCCCTTCTCCGCGGCTGGGCACAGCACACGTGTCCCCCCGCGTTCACGTTTCTCCAGGACCCGGCCCGGCGCCGCCCTTCCGCCGCCGTCCTCACCCTGGGGCTTCGGGGTGGCCAGGCAAGCCCCGGCCGGGCTGCGCAGGGCGCGTTCGGGGCTTGCTTCCCCGCGCAGCGGATGCCGCCCGGCGTGGGGCGCTGGCTCGCACGTGCTGAGCCGCCTCCCCGGACCTCTGCTCACTCGAGGCTCTTCCTCTCCCCTGATGTTTGGGTTCAGGCACCTGCTCTGCGTTAGTTCCCCGGAGCGTCTGGAACAACAGAAGTGGGGCCTCTCCCAGTCCTGGGGGCTGAAGCCCCAGCTCTGGCGTGGGCAGGGCGGCTCCTCCTGAGGCCTCTCTGCTTTTCTCCCCGTGTCCGCAGAGCGCCGCCTCTCCACGTCCCTTACAAGGACCGGTCAGACTAGACCAGGGTCCGCCCGCGTGGCACCAGTCAGATTAGACCAGGGTCCGCCCCTGTGGCCTCAGTCACCTCAATCACCGCTTTTAAGGCCCCATCTCCAAATGCAGTCACATGCTGAAGTCCAGGGGTTAGGACTCTGACATATGAATTGGGGTGGGGGTGTGTGAACAATTCAACCTATAACAAATTCTGAAAATAAATGAAATTGAAGCTATTACTTGAAGAAACATCCTTAAGGCCAATAAGTTTTTTTTAAAAAATCAGTTTATTTGTTTTTTTAATTTTTTTTCATTTATTTTTATTAGTTGGAGTCTAATTACTTTACAACATTTCAGTGGTTTTTGTCATACATTGACATGAATCAGCCATGGATTTACATGTATTCCCCATCCAGATCCCCCCCTCCCACCTTCCTCTCCACCCGCTTCCTCTGGGTCTTCCCAGTGCACCAGGCCCGAGCACTTGTCTCATGCATCCAACCTGGGCTGGTGATCTGTTTCACTATAGATAATAAACATGCTGTTCTTTCGAAACATCCCACCCTCGCCTTCTCCCACAGAGTCCAAAAGTCTGTTCTGTACATCTGTGTCTCTTTTTCTGTTTTGCATATAGGGTTATCATTACCATCTTTCTAAATTCCATATATATGTGTAAGTATACTGTAATGCTCTTTATCTTTCTGGCTTACTTCACTCTGTATAATGGGCTCCAGTTTCATCCATCTCATTAGAACTGATTCAAATGAATTCTTTTTAATGGCTGAGTAATATTCCATGGTGTATATGTACCACAGCTTCCTCATCCATTCGTCTGCTGATGGGCATCTAGGTTGCTTCCATGTCCTGGCTATTATAAACAGTGCTGTGATGAACATTGGGGTGCACGTGTCTCTTTCAGATCTGGTTTCCTCAGTGTGTATGCCCAGAAGTGGTATTGCTGGGTCATATGGCAGTTCTATTTCCAGTTTTTAAAGAAATCTCCACATTGTTTTCCATAGCAGCTGTACTAGTTTGCATTCCCACCAACAGTGTAAGAAGGTTCCCTTTTCTCCACACCCTCTCCAGCATTTATTGCTTGTAGACTTTTGGATAGCAGCCATCCTGACTGGTGTGTAATGGTACCTCATTGTGGTTTTGATTTGCATTTCTCTGATAATGAGTGATGTTGAGCATCTTTTCATGTGTTTGTTAGCCATCTGTATGTCTTCTTTGGAGAAATGTCTGTTTAGTTCTTTGGCCCATTTTTTGATTGGGTCATTTATTTTTCTGGAATTGAGCTTCAGGAGTTGCTTGTATATTTTTGAGATTAATCCTTTGTCTGTTGCTTCATTTGCTATTATTTTCTCCCAAACTGAGGGCTGTCTTTTCACCTTACTTATAGTTTCCTTTATTGTGCAAAAGCTTTTAAGTTTCATTAGGTCCCATTTGCTTATTTTTGCTTTTATTTCCAATATTCTGGGAGGTGGGTCATAGAGGATCCTGCTGTGATTTACGTCGGAGAGTGTTTTGCCTAAGTTCTCTTCTAGGAGTTTTATAGTTTCTGGTCTTACATTTAGATTTTTAATCCATTTTGAGTTTGTTTTTGTGTATGGTGTTAGAAAGTGTTCTAGTTTCATTCTTTTACAAGTGGTTGACCTGTTTTCCCAGCACCGCTTGTTAAACAGATTGTCTTTTTTCCATTGTATCTCCTTGCCTCCTTTGTCGAAGATAAGGTGTCCATAGGTTCGTGGATTTTTCTCTGGGCTTTCTATTCTGTTCCATTGATCTATATTTCTGTCTTTGTGCCAGTACCATACTGTCTTGATGACTGTGGCTTTGTAGTAGAGCCTGAAGTCAGGCAGGTTGATTCCTCCAGTTCCATTCTTCTTTCTCAAGATTGCTTTGGCTATTCGAGGTTTTTTGTATTTCCATACAAATTGTGAAATTATTTGTTCTAGTTCTGTGAAAAATAGAACTAGTTGGTAGCTTGATAGGGATTGCATTGAATCTATAGATTGCTTTGGGTAGAATAGCCATTTTGACAATATTGATTCTTCCAATCCATGAACACGGTATGTTTCTCCATCTGTTTGTGTCCTCTTTGATTTCTTTCATCAGTGTTTTATAGTTTTCTATGTATAGGTCTTTTGTTTCTTTAGGTAGATATACTCCTAAGTATTTTATTCTTTTTGTTGCATTGGTGAATGGTATTGTTTCCTTAAAAAATTAATTTATTTGTTTTAGTTGGAGGATAATTACTTTACAATATTGTAGTGGGTTTTGCCATACATTGACATGAATCAGTCAGGGGTGTACATGTGTTCCCCATCCTGAACCCCCTCCCACCTCCCTCCCCATCCCATCCCTCAGGGTCATCCCAGTGCACCCTGTATCATGCATCTAACCTGGACTGGGGTTCTGTTTCACATATGATGATATACAGGTTTCAAGGCTATTCTCTCAAATCATCCCAACCTCGCCTTCTCCCACAGAGTCCAAAAGTCTGTTTTTTACATCTGTGTCTGTTTCGCTGTCTCGCATATAAGGTCATCGTTACCATCTTTCTAAATTCCATATATGTGTGTTAATATACTGTATTGGTGTTTTTCTTTCTGACTTAACTTCATTCTGTATAATAGGCTCCAGTTTCATCCACCTCATTAGAACTGATTAAAATGCATTCTTTTAAATTGCTGAGTAATATTCCATTGTGTACATATACACAAAGGCCAATAAGTTAAAATCACTCAGATGGATACTAAGCATCTCATCATTCATGAAATGCTGCATTTTGGAGAATTATTAGAAGGGTAACATCGAGCTCTATGTGCCCATAGATGATACAGTCCAGAATGCTTAAAATGCCATTTTTTTTTTTTTTTGAGATAAGAATGGCTATAAGCATGACCTGAAGCAAGCCCATCGGAGGCAAGTCAACCTCCCAGCACCCTGTTGGGATGTCTGGCCTCCAGTGACGGGGAAGCAGGTGAGCACACCTGGTACCTGGGAGGTAAGTGAGCATGCATGCTGCCTGGGAGGAGATGGGCAGGGAGGCGGCAGCTCTCGCCTCCGGTCTTGGGTGACGGGGACTTTGGCTGGGGTCCTGGGTGCCTGGTCTCCCATCTTTCCTGCACCCCCACCTTCCATCTGGTTGGCTGTGGAGTCCTGACCCTCCCCAGCAGGGAGGCTGGGTGGTGTTGCCCCCAGCACTTCAGTTGGTTTCTGCCCCTCCTGGGCAACCAGGGGCCACTCACGAGTGGACTGATGCCCCTTCTCTCCACTCCTCGCAGAATGGCACTCCTCTTAATCTGTTTTCAGTATTTCTGGACAATTAGCCCAGGTTTCATGTTGCCAAATTACAGCTACCCCCTCCTCAGACTGGAATCCAGGGGTGTTTTTGTCCAGAACAGTCGCCGAGTCCCAAGGAGTGAAAATCTTTTGAAGAGTAGTATCGGATACATTCTCTCAGCTGGCAACTGCCTATGTTTTATTTACAGCTTCGCATTTCCTTAGTTCCGAGGATAATGTTATTTTTGTCCTGAAAATTCAGCCTTCCTATTAATAACAAATGCAAACCCGTGGCCATATCCTGCCGCCGTTCCGTGCTCAGATCAATGGCAGGATGCTGCTTCTGCTGTATGTGTGTGTGTGTGTGTGTGTGTGTGTGTGTGTGTTTTTACTGAGAAAACATTTTGTTTCGCTGTGTCTAGTACTCTTTAGGTATGATTTGTCCAGAGTGCTTGAAATGGGTCCCGATAGCTTTTCATCCCCCTGGTTTGGTTATTACCAAGCACAGATGACTCACAGGAATTTTACTCCAGTTTTTAGAGGCAGAATTTTGGAGGTTAAAGATGTTAAGACCGTGGGCTTTCGCAGCCTCATGGCAGAGATGAGCAGGAGGAAGGAAGAGAACTTAGGGGCTGAAGGTCCTCTGTGAGTTGGTAGCATAGTCAGTGCTGGAACGCTGGGAACTTCTTCTGAGTGGGACACTTCCTCTTTGCTGATGCTTCCTTGACTAAAGCATGGATTCATGGAGTTGGCCATCCTGCAGCTTGGAGTCTGCTCTGTGGACCACCCGTGATGTTAAGTGACGCAGAGCGAGGGCGTCGAGAGGGAATTGTTTGCATGACCTGGATTTCCGACCGCCTGGTCGTCCTGGTGGCGAATCGCAGCGCCTTCATTTTCCGATTGGCTCGCCCAGAGTCACTTTTATCTGGTAATTGCCCAGCTGCCCATGCTGTTATTGGTATTGGCGTCTCATGTGTGCACAGGGCTGGAACTGATTGGCTGAACTGCTGGATCAAGCCAGAAACATATAACCATACTTGAAGAATCCAGTTAGACATTTAGGGAAATAGCAGTTCCCCCTACCATGTCCCTCACCACCAAAGTCTCTCTTTGTGCAGTTCAGATAGGAAGCAATATTAGAACCATCTGAAAACATGCACAAGCCCACTGCTGCTCCCTGGAGCTAGGGAGTATCGATCTCGCGCTGCTTCTATTGATTTAATGTCATGTCTGTGATTTAATCATGTTTTCTTTCCTCTCTGTTTGCAGTCTTCTATTGTCTGCCAGAAGCAGCCAAGGCCTTTCAGCCCCTGAGCTGGTCAAAATAACTTTGTTTTCCATTTGCATTGTTTTCAAGAAATGATTAAACCTCCCAGGGTGGGACATCGGTAGCTGGTGTTTTGAGGGGTGTATGATGTTGCTGGGCGCCTGAGTCTTAGCCTTGGAGTCCCAGCTGCAGAGCTGGTGGGGGTCTCAGCCACGGGGGCAGGGGCGGCTTCCCCTTCAGCTCTGAGGGAAGCGCTTGCTCCGTGGACGATGCCCTTCTCGCCCCTCCTCCTCCCCTGAGAGCCTAGGAGTTTGCCGCGTCAGAGCCGGGCCACAAAAGCCATGGTTGAGATGGCCACTCGGTTGGAATGAGGAGTGGTCCAAACGGAGGCTTTGGGATGTACTTTGTTTTAGCGTCGCTTTGATCACTAGGACGACTCTGTGCTTGG